TAAACCCCTAACCCCTAACCCCTAACTCCTAACCCCTAAGCTAAAATTAATGACGGCATTTCTACAGCTATTGGGGTTCCTTACTCTTCAATCTAGGTGCTTTTATTCTACCAGCCCTATATGCTACTCTCAGCAAGCTATGGGTTGCGCAAATTGACTCAAATCAAGTGGTGACGACCGACATATACACCTATATTGGAGTAATTGTTGAGGTCTTGAATGAGGGGTTCCCTCGTTCCGCGTGGTTGCTGATCGGAGACAATGCAACTCGCAGCATGCGCTCACGCTTGAACCTTGCGTGCACAATGATTACAGCCACTACATCGCTAGGCTTCATGGTAATGTTAATATTTCTCTCTTACCCGCAAAGCCTTGCATCGGCGTTTGTTCCAACTCAGGTTCGACATGCTTCTATCACATACGTGCGGTTATCTTCTGTCCAGTTTCTTACCTCAGCCGCGGAAGCTGCTTTATCATCATCAACACGCGCGTTGGACAACCCTGATGTGCCTTTGATCATAAGCTCGAGCAAGTTCATAGTCAATATAGTATTGGACCTGCTTATAATCTCAAGGTTCCATATCGGGCGCTCAGAGCCAACTGTCGTCAGTCAGGCCACTATCAGGCTTGTTTGTGACTGTCTTTCTGCTCTTACAGGCTTGGCATATTTCGCAAATATTGTCAAATCCCGCAAGAGGGAAGCAGGAGATCGACGCTACTTTGAAATAAGCATCTCAGCATTGAAGACTTTGCTTCGACCAAGCACATACACCTTCTTGGAATCCGCTCTCAGGAACGCAATCTACCTCTGGATCGCGCATGAGATTGTGCAGCTCGGGGAAGATTATGCCACTGCTTGGGGCGTCTTCAATACTATCCGCTGGGGCCTAGTAATGGTCCCTGTATTAGCACTCGAAACATCAACTCTTACGTTCATTGGCCACAATTGGGGCCATTTCCGAGCATCGAAAGAGACAGAGAATCCAAGGGCATCGACCAAGGAGATTCTAGGTATGTTGAATAGTTGTGTATCTCTCAATCCGTGCTGAGGATTGTCACAGGGATTTTGCGACCCGCTCTTATGTCATGCTTCATCGCACTTATCTTCGAAGTTGTGCTTTTCGCTGCCCTTTTCGTACATGGTATCCACGCATTCGCGTACTACTTGTCTGGCTCAACAAATGTGGCGACAATAAGCCAAAGAATGTGGAAGGCACGTACTTCCAAGTCTTTACAAAGGTTGTTACTAACCTACATTTTCGCAGGTTGTTGATTGGACTTATATATTCTATGGGCTGGGCTATCAAATCGCAGCTGTTCTGCTTGCTACATCACCTCGATGGTATCTTTATCAAGCGTTAGGTTCCAACCTTCTTTGGATGATGCCTTGGGCAATTGTCGCCTCCACAATGGCATTCCCTTTGTCCTTATCGTGGACCTATTATGCCATCATTTTTGGAGGTGCGAACATCTTTAGTTTTGTTGTTGTGAGCGTGGTGCTCTTTATGTGGCTTTACAGATTGTGCGAGGGAAAGATCAAGTCAAACTCGGCACACGGTGACTAGCTGGTAAATAATGGACAAGACAGATTCGAATTTATTCCGGTATTGAATGAGGTACCAGCGAAGAGGGTGGAGTCGCATTTACAAAGCAGATACGAAACCACCGGGCGCATCCAGGTCATTTGTTCGGCAGTTTCCTTCATGAAGCAAAACGGAGGAGAGCCTTAATCGTCCTCAGTCCTGTATACCAAGACTGATTGTTACAGTACCTAGCAGCCACTCCAAGGAGCAGTGTGTCTTGCTGGCGGCCACCCCAAGGGGCGGTGTAGACCCGGAATGTGATGGTCCTATGAATCATGTTGTCACTTGTGGAATAGCCAAATCGTACAGATCCCTAGATTGAAGATAGCTGAGTCGCACAACGGCACAGTTGGGGTCGAAAAGGGGTTCCCATTTCACACACTCAACTATTGTCTCCCTAACCATATTATAACAGCACTAGCTTAGATATAGTTAGACTTTGGATGCGCCACATCAAACCCGATGTACCCATTAAATGGGTGGCCGTAAATTACTGTATCTACTTATCTTCTTATATACCTGTACCTAACGTACTCTTAAAATAGTTAAAGGCTCCATGAGGGCTTGGCCAAATAGAATTGATTGAGTGATCCGAGATCTGATGCTGGAGGGGGCAGCCCGAGGTAGCCAGAACTCCTCTTTCCATCCCCATCCAGACTTCTACCCGCACAATCAATTGCAAGGGTAGAGCACCGACTTTCTTGATGGTTGGCCTGATATTATGGTCAGTGGCCGCAATGCGCTAACAGAGGGGTTGTTTCACAAATTGCGAGAAGTCGTAAGCAATCAATGCTATTGGTGACTTGACCGAACAGATACGAAGTGTACAGCTTCGTCTCATCCAACAGTACTATTACCCAGACGCAAAGCAGATCGCTCAGAGTTATAGACACTTCGGAGCTAATTCCGACGGTGCGGCTTGGTTCCTGATCTGCACCAGCCTCATACCACAACAAGAATGACCCTGCACCGGCTATCGCCTCCTCGGACTACCACTTTCGAAGACCCTATCAGCGGAAGAAGAACACCTTTGGACTCGAATATATTTTTATGGGAGTAATTAGTCGTATTCGCTAGGATATTGCGTGGTAGTTAATCAATCCATGCATCTTTTCAAAGTTACCGTGTGCCCGAACGGAGTTGGGGAGTCTCACTGGCGGATCTGTCGAGCGGTGGAACCCGATTTGCCGGCAGAACACTAGTAGTATTAGAAGTAGTAGTAAGATTCATTTTATATCTAAAGATATGTGCAATGTTGAGATCACTAGAAATAAAAATGACTACGTAGCAAATCATACGTCAAAATCGTAAATAGGCCGAATTGTAACTAGCAGCCTCTGGCCTCAAAAAATGTCGCTCCATGGCCACCATAGTCTCCGTCAATGCCGGCCCGCAACAAACCATGGAAGTCGACACTAATCCATCTGAATCATGCGCTGGTCCCCTGTAACGCAACATTCCATCGCTGTAGTTTTCACGGGTAAGAATGTTGATGTTCAGAAGCCAATTTGCTGCATATGCACCATTCATTGGTGGGGTAGCCTAGGCCTTCCTGATTGCAGATTGGGCACCCGCGAACAATGTGATACCCGAATATCCATGGTATTTCGCAACCAGCCGAATGAAAATGAAAAGGGTTGGAGGCTAGCCTGCAGACTAGGATCCATAGAGCGTGCAAAATAATTCTGATGAGATAATCCAAGATCATCAGCCTCTTTGTACAGTATGGCTCTATTAGTCTCTTTCACACTATAGACTTATCCCCGTCACCAAAGAACTAAGATATGTTCACTCGTCTGTTTTGTCAGATTGCCATCGTACATATATGTCGTGGGAGATTTATGCTGAGTATATGATCCATGTGGCACAAGGCGTAAGAGGCAACCACCGACCGCGCCAATTTCGCGTCGGACGAAGGTGGCTACATGCAGCACTTGCTTGTAGTTAGCAGAAAAACGAAGTCATGGGCCAATAAGCAAGTTTAAGACATGTGACATATCCAGTATCAGAACGAAGCACACATGTACGCGCATTTGACCAATCAGACGTGGATGCGACGAGCAAGGCAAGCCAATATACTAGAACAACGCATCAGCATATGCGCCAAGCTGATAGAAGGTCGGCAACACGTCAATTTGACGAGATTATGCTTCTACTTTTTTCTATTATGGTCATGTTCCCAAAAAAGCTACATTCGTAGCTGGTTCTCTATTGTATCCCAGACACGTTGTAATTCACTCTCGGCATATAGCCCTGTCAGTGTGTGTTGGCACCAATAAAGGGCTAATTGGATATTAAATAGTCTGGCTTATTACTACGCTATGCCACCCTTGAAATGTTCAAGCGAACTCATCTTACCATATCACCTATTCTCATGATATTTAATTCATCAAATGTCAGACTTCAAAACAACCTCCGAGGGGATCCAGGAGATCTATCGCTTCAGCCTCGAATCTTCCGCTCCAGCGGAGGCAACAATCACTGATGTGAGGCACCTGGCGTCTTATAACTGGATCGAAGCATCCACACCCACCATTGCTGTCCCGGGCAGTCCAGCTCTGTGGTCCGCCCCACCAGGATCCCGTCAAGTGAGGAAAGATAGCGGCCTTGTTTATATTTCTCAGAATGCCGCTCGTCATCCTGATAGCCCCTTAGAACCATTATTTCGCTCTCTTTACATTGAGCAACCCTCGTTTGACATAAACTCAATCGACATTGTGACCGATCGAAACAACATTCGTAAACTTCTGTCGTTTATCAAGCCGAATTTGAGCAAAAACGGTCTCGATGCATTCACCATCCAGGTGGATATGACCGCTCGGACTGCGATCTTTTCCCGTAACGAGACCGCCACCTATGAAGTCATTGGGCCGGGCGAATTTCGGGGCTTTGGACATGAATTCGAAAAAGCATATACGATCACTCAGGTCAAAGACAGCACTGGGCACCATCGCATAATCTCATACCGACTGGGTGGTCTGAGTTTCCTTGTGCGCCATGAGACAGACGGGTTTGTTGGAGATTTGAAATCCAGTGTAAAGGATGACGAATCAACAGGGGACAATCTTGCCAATATCCTGAATTCCTTGTCCCTCACGCCGGAAACACCTTCTATAGACGAGCCCTCTATCAAATCCAATTTGACAATCAAGAGAGAAGGTCGGATAGCATCACGGGAATCGACCCTTGAGATCAAAACTCGAGTTTTCCACAAACCTCTGGAGCTAACAGAGGTTGCGGCTCAACTCTGGATTTCTCAAACACCCAACCTTGTCCGGGCTTATCATCAACGTGGAATATTCTCGACGCCGAAAGTGGAAGATGTCAGTGGCGCGATGAAAGACTGGGAAAAGACCCACTAGGATGCTATCATAAAACTCGTTGCACTAATTAAATGTATTTTACGAGTTACCAGAAATTTGGGTGGCAGTTCCACTGTTAGCTATGATCCCCTAAAAGACAAACTTATGGTCGAGAAGAGTGAGAGAAAGAAGGTGCTCCCGGAGGATCTTTTTTCTCGATGGGAAATCTCCATCCCAGCTAATGTCACCAAGAAAACCTCTATGTATGACCCAGAAGTTATTCAAAAAAGGCAGAATACTCGGAGACCTACTACGGCACTTGACCAGGATGAAGTCCTTCCAAATGGTATCAAAGTAGAGCCGGCTAAACTTCGACCTTTTACTATATCCGCTCTTACAAACGAACCAGAATCATAGAGCTGTTGTTGGAAACCGCGAAATTGGTTTACTGTTTTGATTGGACTATACCTTATTAGCTTTCTTATTTTGGTGAGGTCTGTTTTTCGCTTAGTTGAATTTACGGAAGAGTATAGTGGGTATATCATGACATATGATGTTTTCGTGTATGTTTTCGACGGATTGTTGCTGTTGATTGCTATGGTCGATATTATTATGTACCTCCTCGCGGAGACTTTGGGACATAGCAAGGCTGGAACTAGACAGGGCTCGGAGACAACATATCGATGGACCGTGGTGGGTGTGGTTGCTGTAGTATAGAAATGTGGTATAATATTGGGACTTTGACTTGTTAGAAAGGTTCAAATTCAGCTTTTTTTTTCTATATTTACCCTTCGTTAGATTTGATTATCGAGAAATAAAAAAATATAGTGGGCTATAGGTACCATCTAAGTGAATTAAATCCTAGTCTTATGCGTCAGAGTGGGCCTGAATCCACATACCGTGCCACGGCCAGGAAATAATCCTATTATCTGTCAGACTGGTGCGGTTTGTCTGGTGACTCAATACTTCGAGTATGTGCGGCAAGTAAGGCTGGTAAATATTGTGTAGGTATAGGTTAGTTTGCTACTAATCCTAATACGAACATTGAGGTGTTTAGAAATGCCCAAGAAGCAAAACATGAGTGTTTCGAGGGAATTACTGCTTTGTGAGTTAATATTCAATACGATTAATCACATAGAAGATTTGTATTATAGTAATTTGTCCATCCATAATTACGATAGGTTTGAAACAAGCGGGGTTAGGCAGCAATGTATATAGGGCACATATGAATAAAAGAAGGAATTTATTAACGTATGTAGCAAACACTAGAAACATCAACTAATTCTGGCTTGCTTATATAGCTTTCTTGTTTGCCAAACTGAAAAGGCTTTTGTTCTTCTTTTGGTGCCCAATCATGATGAAGAAAAAAGGCAAGATTTCAGCCTTCTCGGCTAAGGACCTAGAACCTGACCCCCCCACGTCCGACAAACAAAGTAAGGAGGACCAGGAAACTATCCTTACTCTCATTGCTAGATGAGAATCGAAACAATCCGGTTGAGATCTTACAGCGCTTTATTATTAACGTTAAATAAGCCTGCATCTTAACTCAAGCTACAGTGATTTGACAATAATGTGCAAGGGTGAGGCTTTCTCGGCTCATAGACTTATCGTTTGCTTAAAATCAAAGTATTTCTACCGGGCTTTTTATGGCGGCTTTAAGGTGAAACAAATCAGATCTTTGAGCTTCTTATAAAGTGTGTTTGATAAGCGCTGTTCGCTGCTAGGAAACCGAAGAGCAGATTTATCTGGACGAAAGAAGTCTAATTCTCATCGAGAAAGTGCTAGAATTTCTGTATACCGGAGATTACACCCTCAAACGTCTTGCAACAACACCGGTGCACCCTGGCACAGAGGATGCTGAACGACAAGAGATAAATACAAGGGTTGAGAATAGACTAGTACTGGACTCGTCATCCGAAGAATCTGGTATGCATAATCATACCACGGAAATGATGAAGCTTTTTAATGAAGCTGCTGTGACGGCTACAGAGTCTACGGAGGGGCCGGTGGATGGATCAGCGGTAGAAAATAAACCGGTCCCGATTGACGAAAACCCTGTAGAAGAACTATCGAGCAAGGTGTTGAGTTGGAGCCAATTGTTGATAAATTGGCTGACTGTTATCTATGCTACTTTTATGTGCGTATTTATGGCGAAGTAGATTATTTTATGATCAGTGATTTGAAAACCAAAGCAAAGGTATAATTTCTTGCATCATTTATGGACAATCCCAAAAGAGCAACCTTTGTGGATACGATTGAGGAACTCTATTCTATATATGCCGACTATCAGCAGCTAAGGCAACTTGCTATTAAAGTGATAGTTGATAACTTGCTAAATCTTCGAAAAGGATTGTTTCCGGTGATTGATTCCAGACTCATGAAGGCGGTTCTTGACTTTACTCTTAATCTATGCCAAGCGACATTGAACAAGTATGTAGGTGTTCCACCCACCATTTTGTTCTCTATGGGTCCTGAATTCAAGGTACACCCAGCCAGGGTAAATCTGTCAGATTGGTTATACCAAGCCATTTCGAGATAATATAGTGGATTTGCTTAAAGAAGGTGGCTAGGGTATAATTTCGAGGGAGGAGTTTTATTGGGGTTGCCTTACGTGATGCCCGCACAGAGCCGACAGGCCTACGGAGGGGTTTCTTTCCTCCTGCAACTGCCTCACGGGAGTCAATTGCTTGCCTCTGCTGGTAGCTCATCATCTCTCACACAGTCAAGACTCGTTTTGTCCCTCCCACCTTCCCTCTATACATAAAAACCATTACAAATATACAGACACATTACCTCCCTACAAGGGAACACGGATGGGCTCTATCTGACGCTACGGTCTAAGACCACAGCAACAGGTGACCCGTCATGGCCAAACTATACACATTCCTGATCCCTCTTGACTAGATGAGGTCACTAATAAAATGAACTCACGTTATTGTTTGCGAGGGGTCGAGGTTAATAAAATCATCATCATCACTGTAAATGATCAGTGTACCTATACTTGGATCTAAAATTACATAAAAGGAAAGAAAATAAAGTTTCCAGATTCAGCGATACATAAACAAGCCAGCTATGCTGGTTCTCTCTTGATGGGATTAGTCAAAGAAAATATTTTGATATTAACTATTATCGAAGCGAACAAACAACAACCTGCGCTTTTTGGATAAATCTTGTACATAAATGGAAATGGCTGGTCAAGTTAATTGATGATTTTATTAAATAAAGCATTTGGTTGAAAGAACTACAGTAATAAACAGGCTTGGAAGGGAGTGGAGGATACATTCGACGAAATAAATAATCTGGTCAATCAGTTTTTTAGATTAGAAAGTTGTTTGCATTTGTTCTTTTATTAAACAACCAAAGCTCTACGATCCCAATAATGACTAGATAAATGAAATTTGATGGCAGGACCTATTGAACGGCCTTGTTAAGAATAGCTGATTAGAAATCATACAATTTAGTTTATAAACAGATTTAATTATCAGCCCCCAGCGTTTTCTTCCATAAATCTTATTTTTCTGCTCTACAATTAAATTGCATCGTTGCTCTTGATTGATGTAAATAGCCAATATTTTTGTGTTGATTTTAATAATTTTTTGAGATTGGTCAGTCAGATCAAGAAACTTGTCGTCTTCCCTTTCTTTTTTTTTAAACAAATTATATACGAATTCTAGTCTACGAGGAAGACCAACCATCCGCACAGACAATCAGTAGAAGGAAGTGTGTGTCAAGTTTTCCGTCCTTTTTTCGGTTATGTACAAGAGAATCAACAGCGCATTTACATATTTAGCGATATAAAGGCAAGTCCCAAGTGTACGGAGATTGGCGACAACAAATCAAGTAGAGCGCAGACTAATGCTACTTGGGAACCTCTTGCTCTAATTCAAATCAATACGAGATCATAGCAATGTTTAGTCTATTCACATTCGTGATCTTAATGTTTTTCGGCGTTGCAATATGGGCTGTTCCAACTCCTGCCATGCGTGAAAGGGTGTCCACATATGTAATTTCTCCACTACACTTTGCGTACACACTTTGCTTATCTGTTTTAGAAACTTTCCGCTCCACTCCTACTCATTGCCTGGGAAACCTCCAATTGTAAGAGAAATCCCGATTACACTCAATTTTCCGATTCAGTTGTTGCACGGAACATCTCGAACTATAGTATCTTCCGGAGCTTTCAGCTCAACCGCACACTCACAGGTCAGGAGCAGCTGGATATCTCAGTCACCGATAACTACGCTACATGGTATCCAGATAAAGATCAATTGGCATACAACAGCTTCTTGCACAAATTTCTGGCAAAGCTACTACGCTATCAACGGAAGTACCACCTGCCATAAAACTCCACCCTTCACCTGCCACCGCCTGTGGAATAACCCTGGCCTACCGATGACATAGCACTCCTTCACGAAATATCTTTGATTGATCAAACGCGAGGTTTTGGCTGTCAATATCTGACAAAGCACGAGCAAAAGGAATCACAGCTACGCCCAGCACTTGGTATCCGATTTCTTGAGTCTATATTGATGTGCGTCATTCCAATAATATCAAGTAAAGCCCTAGTTCTTTCACTATGTCTAACAAGAAAATGAATGAATGGATGAATTCCTTTATCCTTGTTTTCGGTCACAGACTTAGATTCAATCCATGGCTGCAATTTACCTGCCTGTTGTCCCGTTGTTCTACTGAAACTTGTGGTGGAAAATATCTTTCAGTCAACTCCCAGATAATTGTTGTGTTTTGTCATTTATCCAAATCCATTATATCTTCAAATGGTATCTTGAAATGAGTAACCAGCCTCAAAGGTTCATAAAGATTAAACAAATACACACTGGCAATGGCTATCCTGGTTAAGGGTAACATTTTATTATGGCTGGGGGAAAAGTAAGATTTGCTGACAAAAAACTCTGGGGGCTGATCATTCAATAGGTTCATTAGCCAGATTGCATGGGCGACTGAGGGGAGGGGTGATTCGACGGGGTAGTCAGCCTGGTCAAACTAATTTCTATGTACTGTATAATTCATCACGAACTGCTCCTGTTACGTCCTTGTTACCTTCCAGCATATCACCCCTCTCAACGTGGGTGGCTAGGCGTTTGATATGATGAGCTTTGAGCTGAGAATGTTTCTTTTCCACTGGGTCCACCCAGCAATGGGGACCATGCCGACACGTCAACGAGTCACATCGCAGCAGACTATAAACGCTGCGCCAAACTGGCTTCCCGCCAGAAGTACTTTCTTCTGCATCGAGCTCTGTGTCGAGCTCACCGAGCATTGTTCGCGTAACAGATATATTTCCTATTTTCTCCCCCTTTCAACTAGCGGATGGAGAAGAATGAGGATCTTCCACGTAGTTCAAATTGATTTTCAACTTAGGTTCCTTACGACGGAGAAAAAGATATGACTATATCAGGAGCTGCTTTTTCGAATACGGTCCAAGGTAAACCGGTATGTTCAAATCGCTTGGTCAAGTTTTGCTTAGTACGATCGGTTGTTGATGCCAGTATGGCGGTACAGTATCATCTGATATCACTTGGCGATGGCGAGCAGTCCCGCGTCGTAGAGCTCTTTCTAACGATTTTTTCTTTTCTTTTTTTTTTTTTTTAAGAACAGCCGCCAGAGGGCGCTAGATGCCAAAACAACACCCTTTTCCGTATCCTTGGACACCTCCCTGTTATTGACAGTCACTCGCCACTCTACCTGGTAGTGGATGCACCTTGGCGGGTCCTCGTCGTGGGTTTTCTCATAGACCCACTCACAGCAGCTGGAGAAATTTGACAGTGCGTGGGGCAGATTTACTCGTAGGACCGATACTACTCTCAACTATGCTCTTTGGGGAGGGACTCAGGGTCGAGAGCTCTGCATAGGGGCTGCCGCAATAGCCAGGTGTCGGGGCATGATCCGAATCGTGTTCCCATAGTTCGTGCTCCGGAAACTGAGGTGTGTCATCGAGGCAATATTGGCTTATCTCACCGCAATCGCGGTCCTTGTAACGCCCACTGCGGCCCATATTAGCTGGACGAACCAGGTCTGGCTTGGGCCTGGTTACCAATGAGATGCGCTGGACAGCAAAATTCAGGGAGATAAACAAAACATCTTTCTCGGCCAGGTTGAGCTTTCTACAAGATAAGCACAGCCTTCGGAATTATGACTGGCGAGCGACGACGAGGGCTCCGTTGCATGCGGGAAGAATGAGGAGAAAGAGGCAAAAAGTGGTAAACGGGAGAGGAGAGCTAGCAGGCGACATTGCCAGATCGCCAGATCTACAGAATAAATCTGGATGGTTCCAGTTCACCTTACTGTACTATGACAATGACTCACTCATGCCAACACAATCATTTCGATAACGTACTGCTGGAGCTTCAAGGCGGTGAGCTAAACACGTCAGCGTCATCTGGAGTTGGTTTTCCCGAATCAAGACTAAGAAAGAGTATGGCGGTATCGCTGATTTCGAAAACTACTTTACTAGAAATACGGTAGAGATCAAAATTTCGCATTTAGTGCAACGAAGGCTAACCTCTTCGCTACATCCCCATGCTATTTGATATGTGATTTTGCCAATCATCAGGTTGAATCTACCTTACCCTCCCCTCTCAACGAAAGATTAACAATTCCATCAAGCAAGAGTCATGCTCGATGCACTAGTTCCGTTCAGATGGATTCTTGAAAAATCCATTGGTGACCGAGGGCGACCTGGATTCCTCATGTATCTGTATCTGCTCAACAGGTACTCCACGTTGCCAGAATTGACGCTGCGTTCCCAGCATGGATCTTCAACGAGAAATTCCACATCTTCCAGATCGAGAATGACGATATGATCATGGCAAACTAGAAAATTGTTCGGGTTCTCATCATTATACTCGGCTTTGCATTCCCACAGAGCATATAATGCGTCCTCAAGATAAGTTTCAATTTTCTTCTCATCAATGTCGGCCTGAGCAGCTTCGTATAGAGTCTGCCCGTCCACATCAGAGAGAAAAAGTGCACGGCGACCACAGAAAGACCCTTCGCCAAGAACAGTTGGAATCACGGTTCCTTGAAGCGACTGCAAATTGTTGTAGGCGTCAACCTCCTTTTGAAATGCCCGAAACCCTTCTTTCTTTTCTAGTTTGACGACGACCGATTTGGGAAGCTCATGGTTTGTATTGTGTTCAAGCTCTAGACGATAGACTGTGGGATCAGATGATAATCCCAGTGGCTGAGCCGATTTTGGAACGATTTTGATATCATTCAGCTGGATGTTCTAGAGGTGTGAAAGCTTAGTAGTCTCTTCTAATGAACAGGTGGTAGCTTGACTCACATTTGAAGGTTCCATGCTAGGCAAAAGTTTCTCCATTGTGGATGTAGAGTGATTCATTGCGAGGAGAAGGGCTGGAGGATCAAAGAAAGCAAGGGATTGCGTCAGGTGACGATAGCATCACGTGATATAGCATGACTTCAAAGGTCAGACCGATCAGCCACGGAACACCATATTCAAGGGTGTAGGAATTCGCAGGCTGGAAGGGAACAGAAGGACAAGCTAATAGGTTTTCTAGTACCAGATCAGATACCGCAGCGTCTGAAGGAAAGCCTATCGAGGCACTTATGTATTCGCTATTACAGTAAATTAACTTTAGACCACGCATTCCCACTTTACCAAATGCATGTCCTGTTTTTCAGTGTTGTCACTATGTAAAACAATCTTTCGTATCATCCAAAATCATGTTACTTTCATCGACCCATACCCAAAACCCTCCCACTTTAGTATTACCGCTGCGTCGTTGAACAGATCTATAGTAAAACTCACGACGGATATGGCGTGGGGAACGGCATGGCTCCCCAGTATGATGATCAATCCAAAATGGCTCTCCGGACCACCATTCATACTCTCGAGTACACCCATGTATTTTGACATCTGTCTGTGCCCGCAGATCATTGGCTCGGCCTAACGTTGCGCATAAACGAACCCATCCTCGCCATGCGAGTTTATATAGTGCGTACTGCATAGTGCATTGGTGGGGAATGTCCTCAATATATTCCCGAGGTATAACACAACAATCAACAAGGCAGCTCCGACTTTTGATATGCTCACGATCACGTGCCCGAAATTGCACAATCACGAGCGTTTTTGTATCGAAAATGAAGACTTGGGGACAATCGTATTTATAGGCATACCTTATTCAAGTCAGCTTCTTGGGTACAGTATTTTGAAAGAAAGGGAACTTGGAGCTAACCCTCGTAACTCTTTCTGCAGCCTCACAGTCATTGAGCTGACACGATCCAGACGGGTCCATTCTCTTCCTCTAATACTGAATGGCTTTTTCATGTCTCCTACTGCCACCGGCCTTTCAAGTGATCGCATTGTACTTCCTGAATGAAACATTGACAGCTGATAATCAACAATGACGGACTGTCCCGTCTGCCCCACTGGCGCAATTTGTGACCGTGGCCAGAGCAATGGAGCACTGTTTCCAGAGAAGGCTCCAGCAACACATGGGGCTATTTGCTGGTCAAAATCCATGGTCACGTCACCTTCGCTGCTAATCTCATGTGGAAATATGTTCAAAGGAAATGCGGGGGTATCAAGACCGATTTCATCAGCATTTGAGGGAGTTATAGGCCCAAGAAACTCGTTTATGGCATTGGTAGTGGGTTCGTAAACTGTGACTTGGGAATTCGAAAAATCATGGTAGTCAGCGGTCCATGGCTTGATAGAAGTCTGGCCTCGTACATCAGTGACACAGGGTACATTGTGGTGTGTATGTATCAATTCGCGCACTGTTGTCGTCATATTCAAAACTGAAAACCAAGAATTTAATAGAGATTTTTTGAAGAGTTGATAATGGGAAGAGGCCAGGTTGATTGGAAGCTCTGTTCATCCTTTACGAAGCGAGCCGAGGCCTAGGTGCGGGGTTGGGTGAGTGGCTTCTTGGCGTACTTTGTTTGGCTCGAAACGTTCGTCAACCGGACTAGCGTAATCGGTAAGTGAGTTGGCCACCTGCCTCGATTTATTTTAACTCAACTAGCTAATTTCTCTATCTGGGCAAGTCTCTCTTCTATGCCCTGGCTTTCTACATATTCCACATCCTCGCTGGCCCCGCGTACGTGGCTGTAAACCCTCGGAAACCTGCTCACTATAGCTATTAATACGCGCTACTTGGGCCTCAAATGGCTCTGAACGTAGCTCGCGAACCTCCTGAACCGAGAGGTCGCCTTCGTGAGCTATTTTCCTAGTTGATCGAGTTCACTTTTGTTTCTGTTTCTCGTTGGCGGTACGTAATTCACTGTTTTCCTTTGCTAAAATTGTAGCGCTTTGTAGAGCGAGTTGGCAGCCTTTAAGGAGTTGATTTATCGTGCAATTTGATGGGCTTGATGGACTTCGAGATCCCGTACGAAGTAAAGCTTTGATTGATGAAGCTTGTTGACGTAGTTGTTTCTCGGTAAAAGGGGTTCTTGAGGTAAAATTGCGGCTTGATTCACTACCCCGGCTTACGGGGGGTGTTGGATTCGAAGGCAAATATTGAGCTTTGAGAGTACCCGATCTGGACAAAAAGCCACCAAACCAGCTGCTGCGTATCTTTTTTGATAGTCTGGGATTTTTGTGTCTCGATCCTAGCGTATGGGTATACCTCGAGGAAATTAAGTTTATCGATATGGTTGATCCCGAGGCGCATCTTCGTTTCAACAAACCGACCGTGCGAGCGCTGTGATATGTAAAACAACCGATATCAAGAGGCTGTAAAAGATGGGATGAATACGCAGGCGTCACCTATTGATGGTTGGCATTTTGTCGCTGAGAGGTTTCGATTTTCCATGCTTCCAAAACAGCTCATCGATCATACTTTTGTATTTCTCGGCTTGCGAGCTGTTGCAAACTTCCCTTAAGTCCACTGATCAGTAAAGCCATAATTCCGAGTTTATCTGAAGCATACCTGCTATTCTCGAGCGTTGACTCATTGATCCAATGAAGAACTTTTTCTTGCGATTGTTTTGAGGCATTTTGCTCGTCGTGGTCCATGATTAGTGATGACCAACCTCATGAGTGAACTTTTCATAGACAAGCAGTAAATGAGCTTTTCGAACTGGGTTTTGTGTAAAGGCTAGTCGAATCATCGCCAAGTTGATCTACGGTGGTAAGATTTTATAGACTTTCAGGGGAAAAAAATGATAGGTGGTCGTTGAGTCGTTGAACTTTTTTCAACACGTCATAGAGTAGAGCTCTTTGGGATTCTGGGTTCTTTGATCCACCACACATCCTTAACACCGAGTCCGGGATCACCGCGACCCGGGGAACTTTGCTTAAAATGTTGGTAACGCAAAACCTTCGAACTTTCAGTATTCACTCTCGTGCAAGGTCATAGGAAAAATCGCTCAGTATATATGACTCAACACCCGAGGAATCTGGCAGAAATTTTGACTTGCTGCGGGCTGGTGAGCATGGTGAAATAATTTTTTAGTCGACTTGGGGGGAGGGGTGGGGAGAAATATCAAATGCGGATGTGGGGACTATTGCCTGATCAATAAACACACTGGTTCTTTCACTGTGTCTGACAAGAAACTGAATGGATGAATTCGTTTATTATTCTTTTCGGCCACAGACTTAATTCAATCCCTAGCCAAAGTTTACCTGCCTGTTGATCCTTATTTTTCCCACGCATAAATGATGTTCCGTTTGTTCTACAGTACCGAAATGGGGGGTCTAAAGTATTGTTGCTTCAACTCCCGAATAATCATCCATCCACATCATTTATCTCTTTATATAGTGTGTTTGATTTGAGTAACCAGTCTCAAATGTTTAAGTGGATTAAGCATAAACATACCGGGGGATTATTATCCAGGTCATGGGGATAAAACGGGGATGAAAAGCGGAAAAGTAAGATTTGCGCACAGTAAATGCTGGGTGCCGGTAATTACACATTTTTATTAACCAGATTGTACGGGCGAGTGGGGGGGGAGTGATAATTCGACGGGGTAACTAATTAATCTGGAAAATAATTTTCCATAGTCGTTCAATCGGCCTGGTCTGACTAA